CCATCAACAACCTTCACGGTTCAATCGTCGGTCGTCGTTAAATGGTTTACTGAGAACGTCGGTTTTGCTTTCGCTTAATTAAAAAATTTTTTTTTTGTCTATGCTTGATGCTCTTGATTGGACGTCAATAAAAGTTCTATAACCGCTGTTGGCGCTTAAATCGGACAGAAATTCAAATGTTTATTGATGTCTTCACAGTAGTTTTGTTAATTTCAGTTATTTTATTCGAGAATGTTGACTGTGCGAGTATCGATCTAATCCGGTATCATGCAAATCTTTATCGATGTGGAGAAATAATTATTGATGAAGATCTTATACGATCATTATTTTATTATTTTATTACAATGAAACCAGAAGAACATGAAAGTAAAAATGATTTAATTCCCGTATTGCATTGTTTAGTACGCATTGAAATTGCATGTCGTTCAGCATATTTAACTTCAAATGAAGAAATACGAAATCCTTCGATTCTCTTTAATGGATTCAAATGGTTGAAATCAACATTTCAATCTTGAAATTGTTCTGCTCAGTGACAACGGTTGAGGGAGAATAAATCGGCCTCAGACTATTCATTGAATAAATGTTTTATTGATGCTGGTCTGAACTTTAATATCTTCTCAGACCATCTGGTTTTTAATTCTCATAGTAGCTATAGCGCAGATTTTTCATTTCTGATTTGAACAAAAATCTTTTAAAGAACCTTGGAAATGGAAGCTATGAACTCTGTGAAGTTTTTTCTATTGACTAGTAACGACGAATATGAGAGAAATTTACGCATCTTGTTGCTATTGAATGGCTCTATCGATCGATTGAGCATAATTTGAAAGTTGTCACAAGGATTGTTGTGGCATTCTTGAAAAATGTTGTTATAGATTTTCCAGAATATTGTTCTTTCAACCTGCAGTGTCAACAATCGTGGGAAAAGTGGTATTGCTGAGAGAAAATAGTATTTTTTAAGTGCAGTTTCTTTTCAATTGTGATGTAAATCGCTTATTTGCATATTCAAAGGGAAAAATTGACGTTTCATTTTACTTTAATTGATTCATCTAGCATAGAATTACCAGATTTCTTACCGATCTAAGTATGATATGTAGGTAGGACAGGATTGCAAAAATAGAATATTTATAGAATTTGAAGAACAACATTGAAAATATAGAGGATTAGTCGTTTTAGTATACAAAACCTTAAAAAACACATTCACTTATATTGGGACACTCAATATGAGAAATTTTGATGCATAAAAAAATAAAATTATAACAAAGTAATCCATAAACTTCATTTATTGATAAACAAAAGCGACTTTCATTTCGATGAAAATAGTATAAAATAGAAGCACAAGAAAAAAGTACGCTAAAAACTTATTTGAAAGTTTTTGTATGAAGAATATATATAAGTTTGTTTTGTGGCTGTTCTCATTAAATAAATTAAATGACTGCAGAAACAATGTACGCTGATACATAGATCACGAACAGGAACAGTTTTGCACTGAAGATCTGTATTTGAATTATCTGTACGCATGTGTTTCTTCGTTATTTGCTGTTTATTAAATGCAGATTTGCTTTTCCGATCAATATCAATGACGTCCTCTGTTACATTCGATAGTTGCTCGCTGATAATCTTCCTCCAACTATTACCGCGATCACTCAACCTAGAAGCTTCTCATTATCAACACTATTTTTCTTCTTATTTCATAAATGTACACGTGCACTACCATCAACAATAATAAAATTAATTTTTTTGTAGTTTTTCACTTGAACCGTTTTGATTCAACGTTTGCTTATGCATTATAATAACGCTTTCTTGAGCTCCCGCGTTCTTTGAATTCGTCCTTGAGCTGATTTTTTCTTCTATCGTTCAAAAATCATATTCAGCAAAATTTCATCCGATTCTTTCTGATATACACGAACTATAGGACGTTCGCGACACATAAACAAATTATAGGACCACTACGAAGCCTGTAAATATCCGATTACCGTCAGTTTGCATGAGAGTTATAAAAGTACACCTTTTCCCGATCTTCAATTCGTTAACAACTAATTTTCAGCTACTTGGTCAAGAATGCATAATTTACAGCACTTAAAAACAACTACTTTTCCATTCCCTTGTTTGTGAACCTGAATGACAACGATAAGTTTTGTTGTTCTTGAAATAGCTCTAAAAGTTTATTCACCTTTTCATCTTTCGCTTAACTTTCAACAGAAAATGTTTTCATTCAGTTACATGAGAGAGCGGAATAATGGGAAGCCTGGCGGAAAGTTCAAGTGGATAGCATGAGAAATAAAATAAAAACTGTTTAAGAAANGTTTTCATTCAGTTACATGAGAGAGCGGAATAATGGGAAGCCTGGCGGAAAGTTCAAGTGGATAGCATGAGAAATAAAATAAAAACTGTTTAAGAAATAGCAAGACGTCCATCAATTTTGTCACATCCATAAAATTAACATGATTGAACCAAAAAACAAGTAATTATAGTTATATAGTTCACGAATCAACCCACTATAACGATTAATCAGTTGTGAGAAAACTACATGATATCCAAGTTTTACTTGTGTACGAAATCCGATGCAGTATATGACTTGAATCTACGAAAAAATCGAAAACTCAATCGAAGAACGCGAACATCGTTTTTACGAGCTTTATTGATTCAACGATACTGATCGGGAAT